ATTTTAAAGACAACTCGAAGCCAGTTCATTTCAAAGGAAGCCACCATTCCTCGCAATCTTTATCATCTTAAAAATGTGAAATAATAAAGCAGAAACAAGCTTTACTATTGTTATTCTTGGGATAAATAGGAACAATATTACCTGGATATCTGGTGTGAACCGTACACATAACTGAGCTCCTACTGACTTTCCTCTACAGCTGTTTTTACTACTTGGGATACAGTATGTACTTTGATCTGGTACTTTATTTTTGCACCTTTGCTATCATGTCATTTCTGGTGTGCATGTCAAATACTACTGCAACTGTATTGTCATGGTCTAATAAGATTGAGTCAGATGTGGTATGAATAAGCCCCATCCACCCCCACTATCAGCACCAGGAAATGCTGACAGCTGCAATGCACCAAGAAGCCATTAGAAAACAGGCCTTCCAGGATCCAGAAATAGCTAGGAAGCTCAAAGGAGGTCATTACCTGAGAGGTGTTGGAAAGCCCTGATGATCCTCATGTCCTCTTGGTTAAAAAGCTGCCTGTCGTCCTCATTCTCTAAGACTGCCTCCAGCACTGCCAGGAAATTGCGGAGGTAGTAAGGCAGCCGTGTGGATTCGGGCAGAAGCTCCCCATTACTGCCACCCACAACTGTCACTGGAGGAGCATCAACCCCCTCTGGAGCAACAGGGCTCTTTTCTGAACTTGGAGCAGCTCCGCTCATCCTTCCCCGCCTGTCAACAAGCTCGGCGTCACCAGCCTCTCCTGCCACCCTCTCGCTGGAGGTACCTCTGTCCTGATTTGCTTGCTGGCTGCCAGAGAGCCCAGAAACCTCGTCTGTTGGGTTTCTGTCACCGTGATGTCTCCTTTTCTTACAGCTGCTGTCCGCTGGGCTGCCGAGCGCTGGCAGAGGGGTGTCAGGCCCGAGGCTTGCGCTACTCTTCCTCTTATTTGCTCGGGGTGCGACAGTAGACCGTGGGGAGAGGGGGGCCGCCGATGAGGATACGTCAGACACGTCTGTCTGATTCGGTCCCTCTCCCTTCCACACTTCAGTTAAAACCCCTGGCCTTTCATGCCTTTCCCCTGGAGACGTCTCCGGCACTCCAAGGCCTGTCGAATTAGCTTCTCCGGTGGAACTCCCCAAGACCGTTCGGGAAGGCTCGATGTAGTGATTCTCTGTCTGTGAGCGGTTCAGAGCCCCACTGTCCCCCAGCGCTTGTGTAACACTACCGGAGGGCTTGGGGGAAAGTGGAAAAGGCTGTGTGAGACCCAGCTGGGAATCTTTACCCTGTCTCTGCTGCCTTCTTGACAGCTTCGAAGCCAAGCAGCCCAAATGAATAGTTCTAACCACTCTGGCCTCGCTGCACGCCTCTCTGACTTCCGCCGAAGGACCCTGATTTTTGAAGTAGGGGCTGGTCTGTTTTTTCTCCTTCTTCGGACCCGGGGAGGCTTCAGCTTGGCTCGGACTGGAATCCACGTCCGGGCTGGGGGATTTTTCCGGGGTCCGAGGAGGCGGTGAGGCAGTCGCGCCAGCCGAGACCCTCTCGCCGGCGCCCCTGCCGACGCCATCGCCGCCCGCCTCCATGCGGGACTGTTCGCACTGGCTGTCGATGTGCTCGTTCATCCAGAACCGCGCGACCATCTGCCCGCAGATGGGGCAGGCCAGTCTGGCGGGTGGGGCATTGTTAAAAAACGAAACAATGGAGCCAGTCTTCCCCACGTCCGGCCTGGAGGACTCTCTTCCACGTTTCCTGGTCTTGGAAGCTGACAAACTTCGCTGCCCTCTCTTCTGACGATTTCTTTCAGACATTACAAAAGGCCGGAATAGAGCATGTTCATTTTAACCATCAAGCCCTTCAAGCCAGTGTCTACAGAGAAATAAAAACACTTTTTAGGCCACTTTGGCTAAACAATCCTTAATGTCATCATTGGATCTTATTCTCCAATGGTCAAACTGCCACCTGCATTGTATAGGAATTGGCTGAGCAATTTGCTCATACAGAAAGAGCAGCCATCTGTTAAAATGATCTGGTGTCTCTGTGAACAGGAGATCAGATTTGCTGTGTACCTGAACTGTATTTAGCTTCAGGTGCTATTTTTTATTAATAACATGGGGGATTGAAGGGACAGCAGCATTTGACTCAAGTCTCTAGCTAAACTACAGGATATAATGAAGTAAAATTCAACTGAAAACT